TCATTACGTGCTGGTTATAAACTTTTATTTTACTTAATATGTCAATTGTCTATGTATGACATATTTATAAATTAAATATTGAATGTATTATTTATTTTTCTATTTATTAAGTTTTTTCGTTCTTCATTGTGTATACTTTCCATTTTATGCATTGATTAGTACTATTTCATAACCTTATATACATATATAGTATATACTTATACTAAAGGAAGTATAACATTAACTTTTATTTTGTTGAATTTGTTTTCTATTTAATTACGAGTATATAATACGCATATTATAATTTTGTCTGTCAAAGATTTTTATATTATGTTAGAAATGTGTGACTAAATTTAGTAGTATGGCGGTTGGTGCAAAAACTGAGTATATACGTCTCTAATATTGTAACCACAGATACATTTATGGCCATGGTGTGAACCCATATAGTTCGCCCTCAAAGTGCTATTTAATAATACTGCCATAATGCTTTAGCTATCATCACAAATAGCGTTCGAAGTGTTCAATCTTTGTTTTGATATTGAGGTACATTTTGTTGAATTATTTTTAGAGGTAATGGTGCAAAGTCAGCATTATCAAAAATAAAGTGAAGCTTTTTTCTAATTAATTATAACTATGGAATATGAATACACATATAGTTTCATTTGGATGTTAAGTCCGCCAGCACTTAAAAATCTCGATTAGTTTTTCAAATATGATACACTTTTATAATAAAAATAAAATATTCACCCTTTCTGGATAGAAAACTATTTTAATCTATTTAAAACAATTTTTTACATCTTTATAACTTATTACAATTGTACGATATATTTGATTGATATATCAATATTACTTTGGTCTGATATCTTGATGAGGCTGTAAGGGTTATCACCCAACCACATCCATCTATTACGAAATAAACTAAATCACCCAAAAAGAAACGATAAGGAAATAGTGCGCTAGCTAAAATCAATTAGAAAATAATCGCTTGTGGATGATACCATGAATTAAGATAATATTATACTACTAGCTGTTCATGTGTACTTTGGTATCCGTACAAAATGCATTTGTATTAAATTTGGTTATCTAGTATAATGTTAACATTTAACGTAACATGTGTTGATTAATCATATTTTTGATTTTCTGACTTGGTATATAGATGATATTCCCGACATATTATAGCCAATGCCGGATTTGGAGCAGGAGTTGCCCCAAGCCCTTTTAAATATGCCACCCCTACCTCAAGAAAATAAAATGTAGTATTTATTTCTCAAATTCATGGATTTACTTCTATGTTTTTTAAATATACATATTAAAAATTATATAATAATATGAATTTATGCAATTACATAAATGTATAAAATATTAATATGATTTTTTTCCATTTCTTACAAAATTTGCGGCTCTAGGCCCAGGCCTCACGGACCTAGGCGTGAATCCGTCCCTGATTATAGCTATTTCAACGGCGGCGATTCCCTTTCAAATTGTTTTGACTATTTAAAAGCAGTATTTTTAAAAATAATGTTTCGTTCGATTTATCGGTATTGGACTTAATATTTTTTTTTACAGTATTCATCATAGCTTCTATCGATTTTCTATTATTTTTTTGTAGACTATATTATTTGTTTTTGTAAATTTGTGATAAAATAAATGTATAAATTGTTTTCATAGCTTACACGAGAACGAGGAACATCGTTATTCACTTATTCTCGTTCACTTCATTATCCATTAAAATACCCATTATATTATTTTATTTTCTTTCTGAGCCATGCACAACATGGTAAATTTTCAGTGTATGATAACTAGCTAGGACATGGAACTTGATGATTTAAAAATATATAAAAAAAATATAAATTAAATCACATAAATATTTTTAAAATGTATATTTTACAGTGAAAATATTAAAATAAATTGTTAATGATTAACATAATTTATAAATATATTAAAAGTTAAAACTATATATTTATTAATCTTATTAGATACTCCAATTAAATTTTTTTTTTATTCTTGAAAAAAAATTATAGGATACATTATACTTATATTTAAAAAAAAAAAAGTACCTACTTTACATTAAAATGTATATGAATTATAATATAACAATAGAATTTTCTAACCAAACTATAGCATTTGAGAATAAATTTAAAATGTTATTAGTTATTACTATAATACTAATTATTTATACCGTTTAATACATTTATTATAAGTTACAACCATTGATCAATGTGAAAATCTTTTTAATGATATTTTAAAACGTATTAGCCATGTCCTAATTCTTCTCATTGCTGAAAAAAACCTTATTCATGATGATAATAGATTAATTATATAAAAATATAAAATTATAAATGTTTATTTCCCACTATTCTAAAACTAACGTAAATTAAAGAGAAAATTGATTATATAGTTACGTTTTTCAAGTAAAAAATAAAAATTTTCATTTTATTATGATTGGATGGTTATCAATCATTGGTATAATATTATTTTAAAGGCCGTATTCCAGTATAGTCGTTTTTATATACTACTTGAAGATATTGAGTATAGTAACAAATCTGACGCTCGACTGTGTTTTTATTATGATAAAACTAAAAATAGTAAACATATAATATACCTACTCAACATTTAACGAGTATAAAAATGAAATTAACTAAATAACATTCGCCAGTCTTCGTATTAACATTTCTCAATAATTTTTTGCATAGCCATATAGGTACCTATCAGTTGCTTTAAAATTTGTTATTACTTATTAGCTATAACTCTTAACTTTTACCAATTGAAAAAATATCACACTATAATATTCAAATTATTCAATTATAGATAGTAATCTTTAAAGTAAATAAGTTTTATTATTAATTTATTAATATTTCATGGCCAAATGAAAATGGTGAATTTTAGTATGCAAGTATGAGATATTAATACAGAAAATGAATTTAAAAAAAAAATTTATTTTTATTTGTAGACATTTAAAAAAATCATATTATCTTATCATGCACACGTGCTATGTCGTGTTCCATTATCACTTATTGCTTATCACTGGTTTTGTTTTTAACTTTTGGATTAAATATAATAAAGATGAATTTACCCGTTTTTACAATTTGCCAAATTATTTTTCCAGCGACAATAATGTGTTAATATCCAATGTCATACAGGACGTACACTACGGCATAAATTTGTTTGAAATGGCACTTCACGCTCGTGCTGTAAGATTTAGTTTACAGAGGATTTGTTTGGCACCTGTGTCGTTTCAATGCATCACAAACGCCACATGTCGTTTGCATTTGGAATATGGTTTGTCAGGATCAAACAATGGCTCTAAACGTACCCCAAATGTGAGTTAGTTCAATTATTTTATTGAAGCATGTATTTGCTTGTGTACATCTTAGTATCTTATATTCTTATACAGATTAAAAAATTGAAATGCAATCTGATAATTGATTAAAAACAATTATTCAAAAATATACTGTGTCTGTATGGATCATAATATTTTTTTTTTTTTTGCTGTTGATATCTCATTAAACTGTCAAGATTTTGTATTATACGATAATAGTTAGTTTTTAAATTAAAATGATAGATTAAAAATGTATTTTATTTTTATAGATACGATGTTTTAACTCCAAAAATGAAAAAGTTATCGATCTCAGTTATACAGACATTGATCCAGTGTATATACCTGTTAAGAAAGAAATAGTTGATGAACAAGATTTATATGAAGAAGATCAACATTCAATCAATTCTGTTTGTTTTCCACAATATTAGCATAATAATTTATATTCACTTTATACAATAAAAAAATTATATTAAATTCAATTTTTGATTATTATTGGTTTTAGGAAATTGTTATTAAATGTAAACGAAAAATTTTAAATCATGAGAGGAATCAGAAGTATGATAAATTTAAAGAAATTCCTTTGGCATCAAAAGGATGGAAGAACAAGAAGTCTAAAGATGATTTTTTTACTATTCATATTTATAATGATGTAAGTTGTATTTTTATAATATTTTTTTATAAATTCTAATTTATTTTGAAACTAGGATTATTTACCTCAAAGTAGAAAGACTTTATATGAGTTTAAAAATACAGGACTATCACAATCTATTCTTCATATTTTAAAACAACGTGGAATCACTATTCCTTCACAAATTCAAGTAAAAATTTAAACCCATCATGAAAACTGATAAAATATTAAGTGATTATTTTTTTCAGGCACTTGGAATTCCATCGATACTGAAAGGAAAAAACACTTTGCTTGCAGCTGAAACAGGTTGTGGTAAAACATTGGCATACTTGATACCAATAATTCAACAAATATTAACTTATAAAGAAAAAGTAAAATTTAAAAATCAGTTCAACAGCCCTTTAGCCTTAGTTATCGTACCTGGCAGAGAATTAGCTGATCAAATAGGAGTATGTCCAGACCCTAAATTATATTTAATTAATTAAATTATTGATTTTGTTAGATGACAAGTATATTTTAATTAAATATGATTAATTATAGGAAGTTGCCAATTGGTTTACTGAAGATTTACCATTGAATGTAAAGGTAATTACTGGAGGTCACACTAAAAGGCTGATAGTTAATCCAGTATTTGAGGAAAATGATATAATTGTTGCTACATTAGGGGCACTAAGCAAATTAACTAACACTGGTATGATTTTTAAAGCCTTAGTTTTTTATTCTCAGACAAAACTCATTTATTTTATCTCTAATTTATTTTAGGTATATATTCAATGCGTTATGTACGCCATGTTGTACTAGATGAAGCAGACACTCTAATGGATGATAGTTTCAATGAATTGATGACTCGTTTTTTGTCTAGATTCCAAGTACAGTATATATTATTTTTTTTAGTTATTTAAAATCATATGCATCATTGTAGATTTTAATATTATTGATTATTATTTAAGTATCATCATACATTATACATTATTTATTATGTTTATTATTATAGTTTAAAAGTCATAGTGAAAATTGTAATTTGACTCAATTGTTGTTGGTTAGTGCCACTATGCCAACAAGCCTGTCCGATATATTGGGTGATATAATTGATGTAATATTATTATGACTTAATATGCTGTATTGGTTATAAAATAAGAAGAGTATTTTTTTAATTTTCTCAACTATAATTTTTAGATGGACAATTTGAACAAGATAAAAACAGACAAATTACATGCAATTCTTCCTCATGTTCAACAAAAATTTATCAGAATTAACTTGGGTGAAAAACCATCTAATTTATTGTTACATGCAAAAAAACTTTCTAAAAGCAATACTCCAACAATCATATTTTGGTAACTTATTTATAAAGTATATTATTATTATTTATTTTAATTGAAAAAATTTGGGTGTGGACAGATCAGAATTTTTTTTTTTTAATATTCATATAATAAAAAAATATTTCCAACATTATACATATTATTACAATGATTATTCATTATTAATCAATTAGATACAAAGGTTAAGTGTTTTCATTATTAGAAAGTATACAACATAATGCAAAATAAATAACACTTAATTTCATTTTTTTTTTTTTTATTCAAGCTCTGGTAATTTAAACAATTAGCTGTGGGATTTTATGTTTATTATTATAGAATATTGTACAATAAGTTTTTGGAACATGTGTTTTTGTGTGTAAGATACAATTTCATTGCTTAGATCTTGAGTGATCAACCATCTTAGTGCTAGTTATGTAGGAGATGGTGCTTGACTGCAATCAAACATTATGTCACACCATATTTCAATTTTATAATTTGTTAACTTATTTTACTAAACTCTTTTTTAAACCTTAAATATTTAAAATTAAATTATTTTTAATTGTTAATTGAGACTGATTATCATTGAAATATAAATGTAAAATTGTATTAGGAAATGTAAGTCAAACAAAATTCAAGTATTCTTTAGTATATTATGACGGAAAACATAAGTGTTATTTATTTTGATATACTATATCAGAGGTTCCCAAACTTTACCTACTTGTGGTACCCTTTTAGAACTGAAGTTTGCTTATGGCGCCCTTAATAAAATTTATGACCTTTTTTTTAAATAAAATATATAAAATATCGTTGTTTATTTTTAAACCACTTAACATAGTCGGTAGTGAGGCGCAGCCGCGGCTCTCCTGACAACACACAGCGGCGCACAGTTTAGGAACCTCTGTACTATACATTAACTATATTTTTTCTATTAAACATTAATAATAATTTTTATCAAATGTTTATTGTTTTAGTAATAAATCAAGTACCTGTGATTGGGCTACTATGTTTTTAAATGAAAATGGCATTGAGGCAGTAAACTTGCATGGTGATATGCCATATGAAATTAGATTAGGCAAATTCAAAAAATACCAAGATGGCATAGTAAATATTATGGTTAGCACAGATGTGGGATCCAGAGGATTAAATACAATTAGAGTAATTTTATTAAGCATTTTATATAAAATAACTAATAGACTGTAAAACTTATATATAACGATTACTGAAGCTAGTCTGAAGGAACTGAAATAATAACCACTATTCAGTAGTGATAATCAACAGAAGTGTAATACTTTTAAATTACTGTTTTATAAAGTGCATAAAAATAAAATTCCTATTATATAATATTTACATATTAAACAATGTTTTTATGGCATATGGAACACTGAAAAGTTATTTTTACGTTTAAATTGAAATGTATGAAGATGCCATTTGTGTCTACTGTTTTAACAAATTAAAATTTTATACGTCACCTTTTTGAAGTGTGAAAACATTTTGTTTTTTTGTAAAATTCATCTCAATTTTTTTCTCTAAAAAGTGTCAATGTTTGGACTTTATTAAAAATACACACTTTCAAATACTTTCCATTGATATTGAATACTACTGAAATATGATAAAATATATAAACTTAGTTCATCTCGTTTTTTTAAAAGTTCAAAAAGATAACTGTAAATTGCTGTAAATAATTTAAAAATCATTTAACTATTTTTAATACTTGATTGTTAGTTTGAGTACTCACCTTATTATATTTTTCCCAAATCACTTAAAATACTATTACATAGAGCTATAGAGGTTAATGTAAATAGAAATTTTGCTGTACTTAAATAATTATAATAATGGGGTTTTCAGACTAAGCATATTATAAACTACGATTTCCCTTCCTATATTGCTGATTATATTCATCGTTGTGGGCGTACTGGACGTTTAAATGCTGGTAACGATGGCAAAGTTACAAATTATATCAGTACAAACAATGATTGTGAATTAGTTCAAAAAATTGAAGTAATTACTATAGTTGTTAATTAAATAGAAAAATAAAAAGATACATTTTTATCAAATATTTTAAATAATTTTTTTTCTCTTTTATTTATTTTATAGTTAGCTGCACGTACTATGAAATCTTTACCAAACGTCAATGGAAATATAACTAAAATAAGAAGATTCCACATATTGAATGAACTGGAAAATAGAGCAGCTAAAAAATTAGATTAATATTTACTATTTGTTTTTATTGCATTATAAATGTGTTCATATTTATAAAATAGTGATTAAATGTATTATTGATGTCATTATATCAATGTATTGTAATACTTACTTTTTAATCTTTCATACCTGCTATTTAATTTCCAACTATTGAAGGATTCTAGTTTGAATTTTTCTTATAGATCTGACAGAATTTTAATTTTAATAGTATTAATGACACATTTTATCATATACAAATAAAATAAAATTAGTTTTATCTACATATTTTTGTATTTACATAGGATATATTAAGGTAATCAACATGATAAAATACCTCTATAAAATATTTTTAATTATTTTTTCAGTTATAATGTTTTAGATATCGCAACTTACATTTAATTGTAAAAGTTAGTTATCAAAAAATGAATAATTAAATTAAATGCTAACAAGTATTATTAAATGAGAACCATTTGATGATCTCTGATTTGTGTGTAGAACAGTGTGATGGTGTTTTTGACGAGTGTAAAATGTTATATTAACATTTTAAAATTTTAAATGCTTTTAAATAAATAATGCTTTTATAGTTTTATCAAAATATTTTGAATATTTTACTGATTATAGAAAATTATGATTTAAGGAATTTACTCGCACACATAGAAATGTATGCGTCAAATTCACAATTATTTCTCAGCAATGTGGTAAGAATTAACAATGTTGAGTATGAAGTTTTTAAGTATTCCTGCTAGTTTTTAATAATTTATTAATATATATTTTTCAAACTTATAATAAAAGTATTTAGAAGAAAAATATCTTGAAATTCTAATACAATGTTAAGCCCTAAACTTTTTCTATAATCAAGCCCTTGAAAAATATATATATTAATATTTTTACCATTTACACTTAATTCTAGTTACACATTATCCAATTCATTAATTTTTAGAGTGTTCTTTCAATTTAAATATATTTCATATTCTTAAAATTAAAAATAGTTGCAATAAAGATATTATTTAAATTTGAACACAAATACCTAATGTGTACCTTAATTTATGAATAACATACGCCTAAAATTAACGAGAAATGGGAACTCAAAGCGTTATTGTTGATCTCCAAGTTGCCAAAATAAAAATATATAAAAAAAATAAGATTGGTGTAATTAGTGTATTACCACGTAATAACTGTTTTTGTTGCAATAAATTAATGTCAATAAAGTGAAAGGGTAAAAGTAAAATGCCTTTATTTATAATAATGCTATAATAAAATTATTAAAATAGGTACCTAATCATCTCCTTGTAATTCGGTAACTTACCTAGTTACTTTTTTTGAAAAAAATCTCTTAACTGTTATATCGAAATGAAAATTAGAGTGCTTAATCTTTTAACAAGTTTAAATTAATAGGTTGTTTATCAAAACTTTTATCATCTTCAAGAAATTTTTTAAATCATTAAATGAATTACAATTCATTAGTTCATCGTTATCATTTCGTTTACGGAAAAAAAAATTATAAATGTTTAGAAAGTATTATTACATTATATTATTATTACATTAAACTTTAATTAACGTACACGTTGTTCAGTGGTGTCATTTTAGTTTTTTTGTTATCGGTAGGCTATTAAATCATTAAAGGCCATTATTATGGGCACCATTTTTAGAGGTCAAGAAGGAGCCATTATTGTCCTACACATCTATTTAGTGCTCTGTCCCCTCCTCCAACTTCTCGTTTATTCACAACAGCTATTTTCATGTCATTCTCTAATCTATCTATATACTAAGCATTTTTCTTCAGGCTTTCTTTCCTATCTTTTCTTCAACATTTATTTCCATAGCCATCCTCACTCTTCAGATCTCACTAATTCGGAATCGACTCTCCTCAAAACTAGATATAGCCATTCTATAGAATTTCACAAACTCTAGAATATTTGTGTAATTTAATTAAGAAAATACCACTTATATTACCTAATATGAAAATATTATTGTTACTATTTTTTTTCTATCATATATTTTGTTTTTAATGTATTTATATTTCATTGGAGTTATTAGTGGTTTAAATTTACACTTAGTAAATCGATTTGTGGGTATAACCGTTTTAATAATAAAATACCCAACTTAACTTAAAAGATGTTTCTCCCTGCACTCGATATTTATAACATAATAATTAGCAAAATTAAAACAAAAATGTACCTATTCTATATTTCTATGGGCATCCTTGTTCACAAGTTCACAACGGCACAATATACAGTCAACTTAATTTATACTTCCATATTTTTTTCGCTTACTATTTAACAACCTTTTATTTAATTTTATTATTATTGCACTTTATATACAATCTGTGCCTAGGGTACAATAAGAATATTTGCTGTAGAATGAAGAGTATGAAAAAAAAAAAGGAAGGAAGAAGCCATCCAGACTACCGGCTGTTGATTATTTATTTATCATTTTTTTTTTCTAAGTACCTAATAATTAGCAAATCTCTGCACCATTTTCTTTTTAGTCGTCTTGGGGGATCAATAATCATCATGTATTGAAAGAGAGGATAGGTTAGCTATAAGGGGATTTGGATGTAAGTAAAGTCTGGCATGGTATCTTTTAAGTAATGGCTTCTTCGTGGATGGTTTTCATTTTTAAATCCGAATGAAGAGACAGATTAGTTATGTAATATGGGGCATTAGTTATGATCCATAAAGTTTTATTTTGTACAGTTTGGAATTTGTTTAGATTCGATTATTTTGCATGACCCCAGAGTTGGAGGCCATATATCCATACGGGTTTCATTAAGGATTTAATTTAACAACTTAAATTCAATTTTATAACAAACTTTGGAGTTATAAACATTAAAATATTTATATTATATCATAACGTAATATTAAGACTCAATATTTGATTTAAAACAAGTAGGTATATCGACAATAAAATTGTATTTTATTTTTGACAGGCAAAAGAATGCACTTCAAAAAAATTTAGTGCAACACACCTAACTTAGGTAGATAATACAATAGACAATAGACAATAATATAGTTTAATAAATTAATAAGCAATAACTAATAATTCATAAGTGTGCAAGCAATAGGCCGTGGTATCTAATAACGTTTGTTGATGAATAAGTGATGTGCGAAGTTATTACTTATTACTTTTGAGAACTACGCAGGAAATAGTTTAATAAGTAGGTTAAAAAATATTGATAACATTATTACATAGAGAATAATAAAACTTGTTTTAAATATTATTAATAAAATCAATAAAATATTGCAGAGTGAAAATATAGATTTCAGATTTACTTACAATTATGAAGAGAATAAGTATAGCTGTTTAGATACGTCATTTCGATAATATAATTTCGTTGCGCGTTAAATGAACGCGGTGATTCAGACGAACCTATGCAATTTTGACACCACTAAATTTAGTCGCGAATTAATTTTAGCAAAAAACAAAAAATGAAGATAATAAATTATACACGACGTATCACAGATACATGTCAATTTTAAATTAAAATTGCATTTGATTATGTCAGATAGTAAAATTAAGATACACTGTATACACTTAGATTTTCAAAATTGCATTTATTTTTTTTTTAAATGATCATTAAGTTATCATTTGTTATTTTGTTTTGTATATAATAATTATGTTATCTATTATTGATTGTTTTTTGTTTGTTTTATTTGTATCAATTAAACTTCAAAGGTATGTAAGTAAGAAATTTCCCATGGTTTTTTGAAAAAACGTCTCGTAAGCGAGATTTATAAAAATATGAGTTTTTTTTTATTCGCGTAATGTCGATCATCCATTGGTCGAACGTAGTTTTTTCATTGAGGTAAAAATGTGAAATTAATGTCCGTAAATTTTTACACGAGAATCAGTTTTTCGTTTTTTCAAAATATTAGTATTGAAGGTTTTTGGTTTTTGAAAAAAACCTCAACATGCGACAATGTTGCAAAAATCTTCATCATCGTGTTTTTGACAAATCCAAAAAAATAAAACGTAGATCGTTGTGAAGAATAACATAATTTTTAACGCCTGCCGTCCTATTTCTTATGGTTTTCTCGAAAAACGCTTAATAAGATTTTTCAAATTTTTGAACCGTATCATAATTGCACGATATTCTTTGAATTGTACAATAATATTTTAATTTTATTTAAAAATATAAGTATGTTCTGAAAATAGGATGAAACGAAAAAAATTGAAATGAGATTTTTATATTTTTAAGTTGGTAGATCTGTAGAGGTTCGTGTATTTCGCATATTAATGTATTTAAAGAATGAACCAAGATAATATATCTTGTATATAGTGATGAATACAAAATTTTTACAGAGATCTTTTTAAGTTTTTTGAAGTAGGTACTTTTTTCCTTTTTTTTTTTTTATCATATTCCAGAAGTATAGATTTCCTTAAATCCAGCTGTTAACATGGACTGAACTGACCTGCGTCTGTATCACACTACCACTAGATAGTACTCCTGTCACAAGCTCTTGCAAACTATACAGATTTAATTCCCGTAGTGAAATATAAATAGTAAACGACCACTGCTGTTACTACTGTTACTAGTCAGTAGTAATAGTAGTATAGGTACCATATTTACTATTTAGTACTAGTTAGTAGTTTCTTATTTTAATCATGTCAAAAACTTAGTGACTAGCGTATAATATTGAAGACCATTAGTGGTCATTAGCACAATAGTAATTAGTAATTATTTATTAATACAAACACTCATATTCATATCTCATAGCATGTTAACAATTATTATGATACGGTAAAAGGTATAACTGATACCGTGCCAGCACCCAGCATGCTGAAGCAAATGACTGCCCCTTGTGGAACAGGATTCACGGTACTTCAATATCCGTTTATAGACTATAATATTAGGCAATTTGTACACTTATTAAATAGTGAATAAAATTTTAAACAGTTTAATATTAATACTATTATTGAAGTAACAAATGGTGTTACAAATCATTACTCGTCAAATGGTTTTGATTTTTTTTTTTTTTTGATCTGAGAAAATTATTATGTTTCCAGGAGGAATAAAAACAACCATCAACAGTTTTGCATCAATCATAAGATGATTAATAATATGTATAATATTTATATATACACACACAACACATTATGTGCGGTTAGGTTCATCATGCAAACTATATTAGCAGAAGAGTACTTGGAAAATGCACATTTAGAGTTTAGAATTATATTTATGGTTTTTTTTTTAAATCGTTTCTTAAAAAAAAAAAAAAAAAAAAAAAAAAAACATTTACTAATCTAATGATAATAATGTCTAAATAAATATCTTACATTTTTTAATTTTTTATAAATATCAAAAATTCAATATTAAAAAAAAAAAAACATACAATAGTTATAGTACCAATTTTTATTATCCAGAACCTGTGTAGGTTAAAAAACCTTAATTAGATAAGAAAACTAAAAAAAATAAATATAAATATCCCACTGTATGTTAAATTTAAAAAGAAATCATAATATTTTATTTATAACAATGAATATACAATTAATAAATAATAGTAGTTACGCGAACAATTTATAATGATAAAACTTGCGTGATTAATAGTATTTTGAGTTTTCTACTTTATACAAATAGAAATCATTGATAAATGTAATTTGTTTTTGAGGTAACAATTTTTTCCTTGGCATTTCTGTAGTGTAAATTAAAAATATTTACTTTTTTTCAAAATATGATTTAAAAATTGATTAATGATACTTAGGGGAAATGCTCTTAAATAAAATAAATAAATAAAATTGTAATAGCTTAAATAATATTGTTGACAGTGCAAAATATTAAAACAACATTAACCTAAAATAATCATTTCATAATCACAATAAATTCAAGTTATTCTAATATTAGTTGGATAATTCAGCTGTTTCAGATCTGAATGTAATAATAAATAGTAATATATGAAATTTGGAACATATATGGTGTGCACTCTTGTACGCAATAAATATTGACGAAACAGCTACATATTGTGCACCATTGAGCAGTGTTTTAACAAAATAAAAAGTTCTTATTTTTTACGCTATGTATGGCAAAAATAATTTTTTGGTTACAAATATCAAAGGAAATTCGGATTTTTTTAAAAAAATTGTATGAACTGTACAGCGAGGTAATTTTTAGCATCTTTGTGCTGCATTCCAAGAACATAATTTTAAGACAGAATGCATTAAGTAATTCTTGTCAAAAATGCTTTTATACCTTGCAATTTATGTGTTAACAAGTCAGTGCATAAACAATCAATGAATTCTTAGTAGCATCAAATTATCAAATTGAAGATTGTTTATTTACTAATATTGAGTTTATTATATGCACTATTAATTGATTAATTGATAATGTTGTGTTACTATTAAATCAATATTTTAATTTTTTTAAATAAACCAAAAATGTTGATTGGAAATGTAAATAATATTTTTTATTTAAATTGTTTCATTATGTGATACAAAAATAAAAATAAATACTCAATCAAAAAACATTTTTCAAAATTTGTTGATCATTGATAAAATATGAGGGTGATTATCACATAGATACCAAATAACAACTTTAAACTTTTTTTTATCAGATTTAAATTCTGCTGAAAATTAAATTATACTTGTCAATATTAGTTATCATAGAGGTAAAACGGTTTTTTAAGTTTAGTGTTGAATCCTTGATACTTAATAAAATAATAATTGTTTGACAGTTATCAAACATAAGTCTACAATATGAGATACTAAAATATCTTAAATAGACTTAAGACAAAAATATTTACGTCAGAATTGAAACAGTATGTATTTTAGATTCTTAGTTAAGTATTAAAACAAATAAATATAAAAGGAAACTGATAAGGTTAGATTGTATAAAAATGTATAAGGGAACTGAGTATCTACCAGAAGAATGATTTCATAATTCAAAATGATGTATAATATTATTAAAACATTAAATAACTAAATACTGATTCAGTTTAAATTGTTTTTTTACATTACTATAAAACACAATAATAATGAATTTAATTAAAATAATAAATGTTTAATTAGTAATCTGTTCTACAAGAAAAATATTTCTATAATTAAAAAAAAAAATTCTTTTATAATTTCAAATAAGTTTGATTAGATTTTTTGGTAAACATAGTTTTCATTTTTGTTCATCTAAACAAACTATTTACTGCTAGAAAAAAAACCAAAGTTTTTTTTTAAAAGTAAGTAAAATCAATTAAGTTTCTTTTAAAATTGATTTCTTAATATTATACATATCCATTCATAAACAGTATTAAAAATAACAATTTAATTTATGATATATGGAATTTATGTGATACTTGGTTTAAAATGATTATTTGACAATAAATTCACATAAAGTATAAAGGCTATATTACAAAATATAATTTATAATGTATAATTATATAAAAAAAACTTGATTGCAAGCCTTTTAAATAATTTCTAGAGTACAAATCCCGCTTGTATACATTTTCTACCTACAATTTTTCCCAATCACACTCCCTTATAACCCAATACACTATTTCTAGAGCTCTCTATGATATAAGATTAAGACAAACGGTAAATACCTTATCGAAAACATAAAAAAAAAAAAATATTGTTTACAGTTTGTAAGGATAAAAATGTATCCTGCATACAAGGGAGGCCGGTAAAATGTTTTTAGAATAAATTTTCAACAATATGTACACAAAACAAATACTTTTAACAAGACAGAAAAAAAAAATAATAATAATAATTGAAAAAAAAAACAGCAATAATTTATAATAAACAACTACATATATAAAAAAAAAAAAATAAAAAGAAATAGATGAAAAATTCTATAAATACTGAACGATCTTATAAGAGTGACTTTTGTATGTTAAAAGTTTCAATAAGTATTTGACCAACGTTCAAAAAAAAAAAAAAAAAAATTCACTAGTTCAAAACATTGTATAATATTAATATAATTTATATACAGAAAATAGCCTAATGTCAAAAAGAAAAATATGAAGAATAAAGTCAGTTTATCATTTATAGTAAATCAATTAATTGTTAAGCAATATTTTACAGAATCACTTACATATTTTTATTTTGTTCACGTATGACTGAAACACGAACTGGCACTTATTGATATTGATCCAGCTAAGTCTTGGTAGCTGAATTGTGGGAAATATGGTTGTGACTGTTCCATTTCTTCTGCAATGCTGTTGAGGTGATGCGATGATAAGTCGGGTGGAGTAAGTTCAACAGATTCTCCAGTAAATTCTGAGTCAAAATAGCGCGTGTCTGTGTCTGATGATACTTGAGGTTGGAATGGAGGAGGAATCTAGCATAAATTATGTTGTTTTTTTAGTTAAAATATAATCAAAAATTAGATTTACATTATTTCAATGATAGTTAGTAATGATAATTTGTATTACCTTTTTTTTGTTCCAAATCCAACCAATTAATACTACTAAAGAAAACATGGCTCATGATTTCTTGGGCATCATCAGGACCACCACCCAATCGTTTTTTGGGATCTTTGATTAAAAGACCAGTTAGCAAACTTTTTGCAGCAGCAGAAAGACCTCTCGGAAATCGTACCTAAAAAGTAGGTAAAGATATTTAATATGACAAAAATTACTTAAGTAAGGATTAACTAACAGATTCCATCAAAATGAGAGTGAACAATTTGTCATGATCTTTATTATAAAATGGTAATCTTCCACACATCATTTCATACATGACTACTCCTATTCCCCACCAATCAACAGCCCGTCCATAATCTAAATCTTCTAACACTTCTGGAGCTAAGTATTCAGGTGTGCCACAGAATGTTTTGGTTGTTGATCCATAGGTAATATCTTCTTTGCACAATCCAAAGTCAGCAATTTTAATGTGACCATCCTTATCTAGTAGTAAATTTTCAAGCTAAAAAAATGATCAAATATTTAGTATAAAAGTCAAAAATTAGAATTTTATTGTTAAATAAAAATAATTACTTTTAAATCTCTATAAATGATTCCTTGGGAATGTAAATAACCCAAAGCAGAAATAATTTCAGCTCCATAAAAACGAGTCCTATCTTCTGTGAAAACGCGTTCTCTGGATAAATGGAAGAATAGTTCTCCGCCATTTACATATTCCATGACAAAACATAATCTATCTGCAGTTTGAAATGAGTATTTCAATGACTATAAAATAAATAAAATTAAACAATAAATAAAGTAAAATAGTATATAAATTTGAAATAAAATTCAGCAAATTAAAAATTACAATTAGAAAAGGATGACTAGTAGTGCGGAGAACCCTGTTTTCAGTTAGTGTATGAGCAACTTCATCTTTTTGGATGATGACTTCTTTTTTAAGAATTTTGATAGCATATAAATGACCTGTTGCCTTTTCTCGGCATAAAATTACTTTCCCAAATGTACCTTTTCCAAGTACTTTGAGAAATTCAAAATTCTCAAGAGTCTAAAAAAAAAATATTGGTGAATAACACTATATAGATATTATATAATTCTTATATAACATACCACTTTTCGTTTTCCTGTGGATTTACTTGAAGAAGTTCCTTGAACGGAAAATTTAGCACTGAAGTCATCTGAACTGGGTCCCGACATTGTGCTTGACATGCTAGTCGTATGAGTTATTTCCATTTCAACTTCATCAACATCAGACAAACGTTCTGATACACCTTTAATAGCAGTCATCCATTCTTCTCTAAAAATATGAATTTTTGTATTATTTCAATTGATAATCATAATATATGAAGATTTATAAAACTGCTATATAACTTAAAGTCATTATACATTTATAAATATTGTTAACAAAACAATATTTTTAAGAGGTTAACACTAATTAGTTTTCCATTTAAGTTCAATTATCTATTATTTAATAAATAATAATTATAAAATAAATTTGAAATAAATATAGACATAGATTAATTTAACACAATAGTCTACATATTAACTTCAATTTAAAACTTATTTTTAATGATTTGATAAATTCAATTGATCAACCTATTTATGTTAATTATAGCACAATATAATTATTATGTTTACGTGTTGAATTATTAATTTCTTAGATACCTATTAAATATTGAATAACTTAATAATTCAAGTTGTTTACTTATATTTACTATTTTTTGTACCAATAATAAATATATTTATTTTAAATTCTTAAGCTAATATATCATAGTAATAACAAGAAGTGATTTAGGAATATGAAAGGCTACAACTATTGAATGATCCCTTTTTATTACACAAAGATACCTGGATTGTTTTCTGAAAAGGTTTCAGTTAAAATGTGTAGGGCAATAATATATAAGAACTAGGTACTCATAAAATGTATATTTCACATTTTATTTTCTCATTTAACTAATAATTCAATGTATAAAGATTGTCTACCTTGAATACATATGTGTGCAGTACTGTAAATAATGTAAAATAAGAATACAATAATAAAATACTAAAATTAATTTTTTTAATAGATAATTATATATTAAGTTAAAAAAATAAAAATAATATTAACAATGTTTTATAGATGTATTTATAGTAGCTTGAATCACTTATTCTCTGTGTTTGCTAACAGAATGACCTCTACAATTGTTAGTACTCATTTTGGATAACAAATTATGTACTTTGAAACTATTTTTTACTTAATAGATTTGTAGGTAGGTAATAAAAATAAGACATTTTATATGCTTCATAATATGACAAATAGGGTCATTATATGATAAAAACTACCCAATATTTTCACCTGACCTTTACAGTAAGTTGATGATAGTTGGTACATATTATAAGCACACAAAAATTAAGATTTTCAAGTTCAATACATGATATCATAATTAGCGAACTAGAAAAATAAAAAGTAATTCAACAAAATATTAATGTTTACCTAAATAAGCAAAACATACTATTAGATACTTAATTATTTGTAAATATAATAAATAAACTGAATACTCAATATCTTAATATTAACATCTAATAAGAAATTATGAAATACAAATTTTAAGATATGCGAACTAACAGATATAATCCGTTCAATTTAATACTTTTAATTATAACAGTATTTAATTTGAATAATGAATATTATCATTATAATAATTTAATGAAACATTAATGGAACAAAACATTTCAAAATTATATTTTTGTAATCTTAATTGAGTGAATGATGAGTTTGCTTTAGAATTTAAAAACAGTATTTCATACTAAATTACATTTGGACCAAAATAACAATTTTATTTTAATAGTCATAGGTTAATGTTTAACCTCTAGCTTATCACTTATTTATTTATGAGTAAACATATGACTTAAGTCTTAATTGGAATTTTAATTAAAACATTTTCATAAACTATAAAATATTATTTTTTCAATATGTCGATATTATTGTTTATTATTTAGAAATTATAAATATAGTAACACTGAAGTTCTAATGAAACAATTTTTTAATTTATATAAATATTAAATTAATTTTATAATAACTGCATAATTCTAGAACTTTAAAAAAAAAAAATAAGTTGGCATATGAGTTTGGCATACACAAATTTATTAAAATTTGGATTATTTCATTAGTTTTAAAATTGATTTACTTATATTAGTGTTTATAATAATTGCTTTAATATTTTACCTTTTTAAGAACAGTGTCTAAACATATTATAAAGAATATTAAAGTAGCCTGTATAAATATACAACTCTTTTTGGATTATAGAATTTAAGTAATTTATAATTTTATTTTTATTTTCAATCTGATTTCTAATTCTTAAAAAAATCCTTCAAACAAAAAGAAAACAAAATTCTAGGAGAAAATTGCAGAATTAGCTACTAATTTTGTATATAGAATTATACGAGGTTTATATCTTTAATGGTAAATTTGGATTTACATATAACAGTAAACGTGATAAAATAACTAATATCATACAATGTAGGCACCATCTTAAAATAAAAATATTATATTTGTACTTGGTAGATGAATTCAAAACATAAATAGTAAAACTCAGATGTAAAATGGATTTACTTAAGTTAATAAATGTAAATCTATTAAATATAATAAGTAAAACTTTTACTTTTAAATATTAAATTGCTACATTTTACATTTAAGTATTTATCTTTATAAAAACAAAATTCTTAAATAGCAATACAATTTTGTTAAAAATGTAGACTAAAAAATATCATTAAAAAAAATTGTAATCTTATTGATATATGTAAAGATGGATATTTGATAATAATTAAAAACAGCAATGTTTATAAATTAATACTAACCTTTCTTTATCAGAAGACACATGAAATGTTCGTTCAATAACAGTGGTCCACTGTAATCCTCGAATTGTGAATGTGTATGGTTTAGGACGATCAACACTCATTATTTGACATCTCTTTACAGTGAAATTGTTAAGAGGTTCAGTCATTGGACCTTCAGGTTTGTTTCTATAGCCCATGAGTGAGCCATCAGCAAACAGTATAAAATACCTAGACCTCCAGTTTTTAATGTGTTCACCTAAGATGCATTAAAATTTTGTAGAAGTTTTAAAACAGTAATGAAGTATAGGAAATAGCAGCAACAAAGTATAGAAGTGTTAGCTCTAAGTTCTAACTATAATAACACTAACCTCGTTTAAACAGCCATCCCTCTTTAACAATCGATGACTGGCTGGATGACAGTGGTAACGGGTTGCAAATGGACTGTAGTACATCAGCCATGGTTACACAATCAAAGGTCAACAGTGGCAGAAGAGTATTCGGTTTTGTCAGATCATCTAAAACCATTCATAAAATATGCACAAATAAGTCGCATAAAAACAAAAAAATCAGCAATCACAGATCATAAAATTAATATGAGAAAATGACTTTTGGGTGTAGTGAATATTTTTTGAGATAAAATTGTCGTCGACAGTTTTTGTTCAAGGGGGGGGGGGATACTACGAAAACGAAGGAAGTGTAACAGGAGCCTGTTGGGCATTTATTAAACCACAAGGGAAAAATACCTGATAATATTGTCGTCGTAGTGCTACAGGATCAAAATTTGAGCAGAATGAACGGGGCGCTATGGCTATTGTACGTCGCAGAAAGCATGATCGAAGCGTGTCTCGAGTTCCAGAGTCATGGTCGTGTACTATAATATTATCGTCGTAGTATCATATTCGCGCACGCGTGTGCAATGTGTGTTGGTGTGCATGTGTGCGCTCGTACAACGAGAGTTCGATTGGGATAGGCTCGACAACGACGGCGGCATCGGGGTTCGAAGAAAACGACAATGTGATTGTGATCGCAGGGGCCAGGGACACGCATCAATATTCAGTCATTGTAGGGGGACGGTAAATTAAATGAAAATCGAATATTAAGTAACATGCCAGGAGACAGTTTTTCAGCAGCGAAATTTTACAAAAGGTTGCGATCAGTGACGGATGGTGTGCCTGACGGGGCGAGTGATATAACACGCGTTTCTGAATCAAATTCGAAAATCCGCGTTCGTGCCGTGCGGCAATGATAAATATACGAGTTTCAATGTGATGCGACGGTGGCTGATGTAATCGCTGATGGTTCGAGCGCGCGCGCGCGTCTAATAAGATTCGTCTCCCGCCAGACGAAATTACATTAATAATATAATACATACGTGTTCTTGTTAAATGTCTTACTTTTATGATATTTCTAGTTACTGATTCGAAACACGCGCTCGGGGACTGCCAATGTTGGAATTCCTTAGACGTTGGTCTCACGTCGTCAACACCATTGCCATATTGTTAGCGATCCGTTATTTTTCTTATAACGTTATGTTTTATTATTTATTTATTTTTGTTATTATTATTAACGCACTGGGTTTGTTGTTGTTTTTTTATCGCCATTCAGTAATCGGTAGCGGACGTAGACTAGGGCGGCGGCGGCGAACGATCTACACTCTACACACTCGCACACACTCGCATACACGCAGCGCGCGCTGAGGGAGGATTGAACTTTACAGTGTCGCCGGACGCCGTTTCTTTCTCACCGACGGCGAGCGCACCGCGCACGCACTGACCGGCAACAGCTGTCTCGTACAGAACGCCATACACGACCATCGTTTGAATACGATTATTGGTTGACGATTTTCAACGAAAAAAGCGAACGAATGAAAAACAAAATTCCCTTGTTTTTTCGTGAATGTAAACAATCTGAACTCTATTAATAACAAAAACAATAAATATGGGAATTTGCTTGTGTCATTTTTGTAAAAATAAAAACCACTCCAAAGCATATATTCGTTTCAATGAATCAATTATTAGCTATCGCTAATCCCAATAACTTTTAGGCAAAGTAATATACTTAAAAATTAATTTATAATATTTATATTAATTTATTTAATATTGATATTGTTATATTTTTGAAAAAAATTTACAGTGGTAATTTTTATAATTCACAGTTATTTTTTTTTTTTAAATATCAATTACATTAATGTATATAATTATTATATTATGTAGTATTGTAGTATGCAGTAGCTATTAAATATTTAACGCGAGCACTTACAATAATTAATATTCCATACTTGAGACTTCTGAAGTACTCATATCCTCTATAGATAGTATTTTTCTGAAAATTTTCATTTTTTCACTATCATTCTTCGAATAGTCTACTATTTAGTATTTTAGAATATTTGTTAGTGATAAGTGCATTAAAAATATAATGTTTGTAATCATTAAAACTTGAAAACTTAAAATAAAAATTGATAAATATTTCATATTAATAGGTACATAAAATAGGTTTTTAAAACATAAACTGTAATAACTGTAATAATATGTAGTTAGAATACTAACTACCATTTTTAATTGTGTACAGTTTAAAAATTTTAATGATAAAATATAAGATATAGCCGATATAGGTACCTAACAACTAACAAGACGAATAATTTTACATTGTTCCATTACTTTTAATAGAAATTTAACAACAATTATTACTATTATTACACAACAATTGAAATAGATTGTTATTACTTATTTATATTACTCATCAAACTGAATACTCACAACTAATATTATCGATATCGTCAAACCCTGGAATAATATTATGTCTCTGATTTTCTACATCCATTTTCAATTTCAATAATGGGCAACAGAATATTTTTAAATTATATACATTCGGCTTTTATATAATATATATCCTCAATTTTTTTTCCAAAATAATGTATCTTTCCATGAAAAAATATAAGTATTGTAAATTGTTAGAAACGATACGAATTAAAAGATTTCACTAAAAATTATAAACATATGCAAACCCACAGAATCAAATAATTGACGGTCATTCTTAAATTGAGTGTGATGACTGATGAGTCAGATTTATGTTATCTAATTTATTATTACACTTTATAGGTCAGTAATATTCAAAACAAAAAATATTGGAAGGAAACTGTGACCCATCTCAATCAGCTCGAACTGAGCGATTAAGAAACTAATGTAAATAACGGCGTTATTAAATAATTTACAAACGATTACTTTTTTTATTATATGTATATACTTTTAAAGCCATGCGAATCATTTGTTCGAAGTTATATAATTCCATTAATCAATAGGTCAATATGGGAGAGCTAAGTTTCGCCCTGGCCGCTCTACCACGACATAATATACAGTACCTACCTATTTAATAACTTTGTTTTGACGTATTTCAACATCATTCACTACAGTAAATTTTATCTACAGGTACACTGATTTCAAGAGGACGCCAAACCCAACCCATCTTTGTTGTCTTCGTATTATGACATATATTAAATAATAAATGTATGCTCAATTATTTACTTTTAGCTTTGTTAGCTTTTATATTAAAAATAATCAACTTATTATGAAACTTAAAAATAAGAACATTTGTTATATTTGTATTTTGGGTTTTTTTAAACAATTCCATATTTAAGCAATTTATGAGCATTTTTTTAATTAAGCTATTTTATTAAAAATTGAATCGTTTTAATATTTTCTTCTTTATTCTGACTTGTATACTTCAACGTTATACATCGCCCATCATATATTATTAGGTAATATCATACAGTCACGCTGCGCATACCTGGCATATTCCGAAGCTCTGCCTACGCTTATCACGGCGCACGTGACAATAATAGCATGCAAATATTACGTTTCAATATTTCATTCGAACAGCGAATGAAAAATATTTACAAATACCAATAGTGCTGGTGTTAAAGAAACAAAATCCAATACTTAGAAAAACACAAAGCCTAGAAATTAGCATATAATATTGTATACGATTATAAACAGTTATCCTTCTAAGCATATTCTTTATAATATATATATATATATATAATATCTTTTTTAAGTAAAAAGAGATTTATTCGTAACGTGATAGCCAATAGAAGGTGGCGCAACGTGCAATTTTGTCCGATACGAAATTTGTATATAATACAGGTATGTAGTTATTGGATGATTTTTTTGATTTTTTTTTATCGAAAAACGTAATTGATTATTTGGAAAACTATATCAACATTTTTTAAAAATACGATTTTATAATTTTCGGTGAACACATATTTTTAATTTCTAAGTTGAAAGCACAATATTTTTTAGAGTATACTTCAATCTATAAAAATTGAATAATTTTGGATGAGTGATTTATGAGTTATATAATTATAAAATTGTATTTAACGTTTAAATTAGTGGAGGTATAACGGTAAAATGTTAGTCCACTAAATCCCATTCATCTACATATATTGAGTTTTAACAAATTAATTACTTATTTGAAATTTAATTTTTGTACATTGAAATATTCTGAGTAATTTCATTTTACTGTAATTATTTATTATTATTAATATTTGATGAGTGCTTTGTAATATGAACTTAATAATGTATGTTGTTATTGAAAATAGCAAAAAGTATGGTAAATGATTATGATAAAAAAAAAATAGTGAAAAAGTTATGTTTTTATTCGAAAATGTTTAGTAACTATACTAAACTATTACAAAACGTTAATAATTTTTTAAATAATATGATTATGCTATTCGATAAAATAATCAAGTCGTTTATGAATATTTGTAGAAACATTAAACTAATATATACATATAGGAATCTACATTACGTGTATAGAATTATAACTAAATAGATAAAATATTTAGGAGAATATTACAGTAGAATAAAAAAAAATCTATTTTAATTTTTAATACAACGTTTTTTTAGTAGAATTAAATAAATCTATATTATACCTATGTCTGTATAATGTGTATACTGTATAGAAAAATATAGAAGAGGCAGATGAGGTATATAGTTTTTATAAATTAGTTAATTAAGTATGAATTACAGTATTGGATTCTTAAACATAATAATTTCAAATCAACTTTTGAATTTCAATGAAAATATATAGTGAATCATACGATTACTTGAAGAAAAATCAATAATACATTAAAATATATTATATACTTAGTAGTTTTTAATATATACATATTATATGATATTGTATATATTTCAAAAATGAAATGTGTATACACGTGGATTGATATTTGTATAATAGAATGATTTAATAAGCATGCTTACTCTCATTTTGCCTTTGAATTGAACTTGTGAAATAAAAGATTCATGATGTTTATTTTTATTTTGAAATAAATTATTTAATTAAAATAAATTATGATTTTTGAAATTCTTAAGTACGCTTCTTTAAGAATCACATTTAAGAACAATTTCAATGTTTATGGAGTGTCTTGTGAATTGTAACGATCAAAACATAACATTATAATTAGTAATATAGGTTCAAAATCGTATTTTGTGTATGTATATTGAATATTGATAATATATCATTGAATTCAAATTTAACACATCTCTCGCGGTGACCTACTTATTATTACTTATTATAATGAAAAAATAGGGTTCACATACTTAGTAACGTTGATCTATTATAACTAAAGCTAATCGTAATTTCGTGACCGTTGTGAAAATACTGAATGAATGGCATCTGAAAGTTGAGGATTTCAGAAAAGTCTGCAAAGGATAGAGGTTTATAAGCAAAAAATAGGAAATAATCGAACATTGAAAGCTATGCGTTTAAATGTATTTCAATCAACTACATTAGTTTGAGGTCATAAAGTAGTTATCCAAAGTTGAATTTTGCTAAAAATTAAAATTGATCTAAGTCTGTCAGGAAAGATTATCTTTGTTTACTATGAGAAGTTGTGCCAACACATAGTTTAGAAATTATTAGTTTAAACCATGGCCGTGGTTATTGGCAAAAGTGAACCGGATTGTTCCAATGTCAGTAACTGTTCCTCATGTATTCAGGATATATAGCGATGAGTGGAAAGACCTGCGATTCTAATCAGTTATTTGTCTTCTGTTAGCTTCCATTTTTATACTTAAAGTTGGAACGGAAATGGGTCATAATATTCAATATAAATAATAAATTATATAATTGGAAGGCATATAATTGTAGAATAAAACCAAATACACTTGTGAATTTAAGAAAAGTTTTCGAGGGGGCTACTCTGCACCGTTTAGATGGCGAGATTGGACACATCTACTAGTTTCGCCTATAAATTGTGATCAGTTGGTATGACTAGAATCAACAGCAATATAGTTTGAGAGTGATGAAATAAATTTTGTCTTTTTTTTTTATGTATGTG